AAAAAAAAAAAAAAAAAAAAAGAATCCTTACTGGCAATGAGAATACATGCCAGCCCACCCCACGCAATAACAGTTACACGGCTCAGAGTGCGGACAATTGCAAGACAAAATACCCCAATCGCAGCAACAGCAACGAAAATAGCTGTGCAAGCTCCATGGGTTGAGATCGCATTCAGAGCGATCGAGATGCCAAGTATACCGGAAGCAGCAACAAAGGTCAGGTCCGTAGATGTCATCCGTCAGTATTATTTTTAGAGCTCGCACAGATGGCTAACTTACAAAGGATGAATCCGGCTCCGAGAATCTCACGTCCCACGGGGCCGAACATGAGCCCAGCTGCGTCGTCAATACCATACACTTCACGATGGTTGAGCTTAAAGCTGCCGACCATATAACTACACCAGCTGTTGATAATGGCTATGGCGACCAGGCAAAGCACTCCAGGCACCAGGCCCAATGTATCAAATGCAGATGGGATAGAGAGGACACCCAAGCCGATCTGGGTTTTCATCATAAGGACTGACGTTCCTACCCATCCTAGCTAAGAATTATCAGTCTCATTAGAGATTAAAAAGCCGCGCGGCACAAGTATACATTGCGATAATTCGGACCGTCCCCTTCAATAACCCCGAAGACGGCATCTTCGGTCACTGCCGGTTTAAGATCTCCTTCGTCCACCTGGCGAGGTATATTGGCTGGGCTTTCGACATCTTCTTTCTTCCCGCGTATATCATCCATACTTTTCGAAAACCAATGCGATAACAACTGACAAAAAGTAGACGGGAGGAAACCTTTCTTTTTTTATTATTTCTTTTATTTCTTTCCTACGGCCCCATACTCCGGAGCAATGAACTTCCTCCATCCGCAACCCCAGGTTCTCCACAGTGGATATTCCGAATTGGAGGATTTTATCACGTAAAAAAATCCAATTACTGATAAGATAGACTATTTTGCAAGCTCTAAGATCGTGGAGAAAATTCATAAACAAATAGTAATTTGAACAATATTGGGCCCCACGGTAGATTTGATGCGGCAGTTGGTCTACAAAAGCCGGAAGTTCCGTGACCGGAGGTCCTTTTCAAGCGATATAGGGGCTTAGCACGGGTTTTCACCGGCAGATTTAAATCTTGGTACATAATAGTTTCTGTTGTACTATCTTAAAAGGTTTGCTTCTTATGCAATACTATATATAGCTAATCCTCTGATTGATTTGATTACGCTATTGTCCATTAAAGCTGAAAATCACCAAGGTTCGAGAATTTACTCGAGAATTTTAGATAGCGCGCTGCTCTTCGGGTTCGGAGAGGGTCTGAGGTTTTGAACCCGAACTCGGCCCGAAGGCCACTCCAATAATACTCTAACCAAAGTAGACTATTATAGTCATCCCTTGCAATATCTTCCTGAGTAAGAGATGATAGCTATCTCCACAGTATAGAATTCAATCTTGGGCGATATTGACAATTTTTACCTAGTTGATGGTTTCCCATTGGCGCGATTGTAGGCTGTAGATGGAGACACATTGACTGTACGTGTGGCTGCGCCAGTGGAAAGTGTCTCGCAAGTAATATACCTATCACCTATAGGCCCTTTTCTCCCTTCCTTGCGATTTGACATGTGTTCAACAATTTTCGTATCATGATGTGGAGTAGAGAAGACGGAGTAAGTGGAGAAGATATCACGATCTTGATGGGGCGTTTGTGAAAGCGGGAGATATATAACCGTCGTGAGGTAATTGCAAGCTACTACGACAAATGCATTCAAGTTACTCCGGTTGTGACATTCAAACAGCAGTGGCAGAATATATACACTATTTTATTGCCTATGACATTATTTTAATCTGGGGTAAAATCAGATTATACCTGCATCGTTTGTCGCAAGGTGAGGTTGAGAAACCATGGTTGGCGGACTCAACCCACACAAAACTGGGCATAGAGCTCATTGAGTTCGAGGCCCAGCATAGCAACCGCCATTTGCTTGCCAATGCCGCATTTCCCAGGAGATCTGCGGCAGAGATTAACGAGCAGAGCGAGTATTGGAATCCTTGGATGACAACAGAAATATTATGGCATGTTGCACAGGCCATCCTGAATCATCCGTTTTTGCATCTCGTTGTCATGCGATCACAAAAGGATATCCCTCAGTCTTTGTGTCTTTCTTCAGCAGACGGTGGATATGGCCTTGTACCATGTGAGCTGGCTGTTTCGGATTCTTCAGTTGAGTGAAGGTGTGATGGTAATCTCTAATCCAATACTTGGGGACGCTATTGCGGCCAGCGCGACTATCTTATGACCATTCCAATTTACAAGAGATGCGAAAGTAGCCCAAAGGACGCGCGAGAATCTGGAAACTCGTGAGGGGCTTATAAGTACTATGGCAGAGGTGTGGCCGCATTTCTTCAATAAGGTGAGGTGAGGACTCGATCTATCTGTTCTTCAATGTCCATTGACGAATGTCGGGCGTCCCCTAGAACGTAGCTAATCCATCATAAGCGGTGGCACCCAGGCTAACATAATACACAGCTTATCACATTAAGAAAGTTACGAATCCTGGCAGACCAGAACCGTTCACAGCCGATACATCAAGAAACGAGCATCAGTTTCAAGCCAGAGTTGTTCTGGGACCTTCTCGCCCCAACCATACAACCAGAGACGAATCATGCAGTGGGCCCGGATGCGATGGCTAGATGTGAAAGCGACAGCCCATCGAAAATAAGGCTTTAATCGCACATTATTGACCGTCTTTCTGGAGAACCTGACTCGGGTCGACAACAGGAGCCTCTTGGTTCTGCTCCATTCTCAGAGTCGCTTGCCTTAGGCCTGGACAATCTCGAGCAATTCGACATCGAGGAACTATCTCGTGGCTTCATTGAAAGTGATTTCTGGAACATGGTTCATTAAGCTGAACACCCGTTTGGTTGCCTCGCTATAGTCCTAAGCTGTTTTTCTTGAACCCTATTCTCCCTTCTCTGCCCGGGGAAGCAACATGGTTCGATTAAGGATGTGTAATGATGTACATTACATAATAATATCAACTGCTGAAGAGTTGATATGAAAAATATGAATGACTCAGAAATATCTGTTCTAATGATTGTCAAGTATGAATATAGTTTGTGTTTACCTGATGCAGGTTGCCCCCCCCCCCCAAAAAAAAAATAAAATAAAATAAAGTAAACGTTTACCCCGGGATTTGATGGAGTGGACCCGCAGATTCACGGATGGCCAATACCTTCGCGCGGAATTCTTGCCTTTACGTTAGTACTTTGGCGGAAATTCCGAAGATCAACTAGAAAAGGAAGTATATCAGCTTCCGTTGAACTTTTGTACATGAGTGACATATATTGAATATTCATTGCAACATAGCGGATTCATTGAGATGTCGTGGGAGACAGTGTCCAAAAAGGCACAGTCGGATTTATTAAGCTCTCTTCCTAGCAAGTGGAAGATTGGCACTGAAGCTTTTGAGGCAGAGACAGATGTCTCCCAAATACCTAAGACATGTGGGATCTTGATTCAGTGCCAGATCCAGATTATGGAGCTCACTGCGACACAATTAGCGAGACAAATCGCGTCTCGCCAACTGAAAGCAGTGGGAGTTTTGGAAGCGTTTGCTGTCCGTGCTGCTATTTCCCATCAATTGGTGAGCTACCTTTGATGTTCCGAGGCGATGTACCTGTATACTGACAACCTTAAAGCTCAACTGCCTCACTGCATGGTTCCTGGAAGAGGGGATGCGACAGGCTCAACGTCTGGATGGTATTCTTGACAGTGGAGGCAAGCCCCTTGGCGCATTACATGGCGTTCCTATGGCATTAAAAGTAACAATTACCTTTGTATCTCCATCTCGCTTGGTCTTCAAATAACTGTTGTATCTTATTCATGTTCCTCTAATTCCATGTAGGACTTCTACAATGTAAAAGGTCACCCGACTACTCGAGGATACGTTATGAATAAAGACGACATCCAAGATCATGGTTCGGCTATCGTGGCAACACTACGCGCTGCAGGTGCCGTCTTCTTTTGCAGAACCACCATGCCTCAAACGGGCATGGCTCTCGAAACAGTCAGCAACCTATGGGGCCGCACCCTGAACCCTTTTAACACTAAGCTCGTTGCCGGAGGTAGCTCTGGTAGAGACGGTGCGTTGGTTGCTATGAAAGGATGCCCAATTGCACCCTCATCGGATATTGGCCGTTCAATTCGTAAACCGGCTGCTTTCAACGGACTGTATGCGATTCGGCCTACATCGCTCCGAATTCCTAAAGCCGGCTGGGGAGGTTCAAACGCGGGTCGGATCTCGATCCGAGATTCAATTGGCCTAGTCTGCCACTGCGTCGAAGATGTCCGAATGTTCACAGAAATTCTTACTACAGATCCAGCCCATAGATACGATGCCTCTGCCGTCCCTCTCCCTTGGAGGCATGTTTCGCTGCCAAAAGGGAAGTTGGTAGTAGGTGTCATGGAATGGGATGGTGTGGTTATGCCTCAGCCACCTGTTCCCCAAGCCATGGAGCATGCGAAACAAGTTCTGGGTAAATCTGGATTTGAAGGTACGAATCTTTGCTTCTTCCCCCATCTAGGAAGAAGGTATCTAAGATATAAACGTAGTCATTGAATTCCAGCCACCATTCGATTGCTGGGAACTCGAGAAATGCACAGTAGGAGATGACCTCTACCCTGAATTCAAGATTTATCAACTTACAATAGGCGTAGTTCGATATATACTCCCAAGAAGCAGGCGAAGAAACCCTTGCAAAGCTTAAACCCACTGAAGAACCACTTATCCCAGGTTTCGCAGATCTGCTTAAGGTCTATAACGCGCTCCACCTCAGCGCTCTAGAGCTTGTCACGTATGGCCCTCTTAACGCCCCCGCCCCCTCTGGGAAACTCGACTAATAAATCATATCCCAGCTTAACTTGAAAATGAGAGAATTCAAGGACCAATTCGCAGACGCCTGGAAGTAGACAAGCCAAATCACTAGATCAGATCGCCCCATGGATGCGTTGATCTGTCCCGTTGCACCTTCAGTGGGAGCACCTCATGACTACAATGCTTACTGGGGGTACACGTCCATGTTCAACTTCCTCGACTACCCATCCACAATCCCCCCCGTGACTAAGTTCAAGATCGATCCTCAAATTGATCGTCTCGATCCAGCGTATCGGCCTTTGAGCTCGAATCCTTATGACAAGGCGTATCAGGCGATGTGTAAGCTCTCCTTCTAATCCTATTGGGACAACTGGTATGTACTGACATATATTTTCGATAGATGACGCGGAGATCTTCGCCAATCAACCGTCCACTGTACAGATCGTTGGACGTCCGTTTGATGACGAGGAGCTTATCGAGGTTACTGCCGAAATCGACAGTCTCTTCAAAACGACTGAGCAAGTGATGACGAAGCTGTGAGGATGTAGAAAGGAAGAGAGACAGATCTTGGACAATTTAATGGATTCAGTTGCTCAGAAGAAGATAGATCTATGAGATTATAGTAAAGTTAAAGGCCATAGAGCTGAGCCCACGATCTCGCAGCCCCAGATGTTTACTGTCTGACTTCATAGTCTTGTGACAGCCTATCATTTACAACTTTCCATAGGCTATCTGTTTTCCATAATTTCACTTTACCTTCCTGCTGTTGGGTGGGTGATAGCCTACATACTTCATCTCCTGTGAAGACATATTTGCTGAGTTAAAAGGCCACTTTAATAGCCCCTGAAGTGGAAAGGCCAAGTCTGCAGACGCTCCAAAGAGTAATCGATTCGCAAAATATGCTAGTCGAGTTCATGCACAGAAAGAGTCAAGACCAGTCCTATGTGATGTCTTCTCCCGTTCTTTGAATACTTCTGTTATCTTAGTAAACTGATCAACGATGGAATGAAGACTTTTTCTTGATTCTTATCTCTCATTAATTTAAATGTGTTATAGCTTTCGCAACTTGTGTCTATCTTGTTCAAGAATGTAGTGACGCATTACCCTTCCATATCGAGCACTTCTTCATGACACCAATGGAATACTAAGTTGTCTTTTCAATACAAAGTCTATCCACCCCCGAGCCACAGTGGTTAAAACGCTTGAAACATATTCAATTCATCTATTAAGGTCTACAGTCTGCAACACCCCGACTTCGAGTTCACATCATCGCCTCCATCAACCAACACGCTCCGATTTCTCTCCTGTGTCGACACAGCAACATCTAGCCCAGGGTTTCCAGTGAAGAAGTTGGCAGGTTTAAGACTGACCACCATCTTATCCGATGGCATAACAGGCCAATCTTCAATTCTTGGGTTATGAGTCGACCCAAACGTGTGCCAGATGACGATATCCTTGTTTCGGACCGAAGATTCTTCAGTTCCAGCCCGCTTTGCAATAGCGGTAGCGATACCGTCGCCACCGGTTGACTGCATGGTATGGCGGCCAGCTGGGAAATGCTCGTCATCCTGAAAACGCGTGACCCAAACAGCGTGCTTTCCGAATTCAGAGCGCTTGGCATGGTATGAGTCCGGGTGTGCTAGGAGCATCTGGCTGTAGGCTGGCAGAAGCTTGAATCCGACAGGAGTCCCTGTTATGGGATTAATGACGTTCTCGTTGACGATTTTGAATGTCCGGTTCTTGGTGAAATCTAGGTCCAGTCCTCCTTCTTTGTCGACGATGGAAGAGCGCGTGACGTATCCGACGCCGAAGGGATTGGTGTAAGAGTCGACCTGGGCTTGCGATTTGCCGTCGTGGTCAAAGCTCGGGGAATCAACAGGCATAGCGTATGATTCTTCTACCTGCAAGGAATTGCTATGGCCATCGATGGCAGGATCCATGCGCAGAGAGAACAAATGCTGATGGTAAGGGGCCAAGACGCCTGGCGCGACGATGGTACCATAAGGTACCTTGTCTCCAATATCTATCGGAGTAGTGGAGAGAATCCCAGTAGCGCGAACCTCGTAATGAATCGATGCATCCTGACCGAACTGGAAAGCAAAGATATACTCGTAGTTACTCACAGTGATAATCGTTTGCAAGACTAGAACTCGCGAACGCGTTACAACTGCATTCTTGGTCCGGAAGTTTGTATGCTTCCACAAGATCCCGTCATCCTGTTCATGACAGCATATCACGTTAGGTAGCTTAACTGGGTCTCCGGTAGTAGTCGTGTGCCAGCCATCAAAGTACTTAATATGGCCCAGGCAGTCGCAACCCAGTTGTAGATTATTGGCATTAATTCCAGCCCCATCATTGCCAAGGTCAAATGCGGCTTTGCGCGGGTATGGAGCTCGAGGGTCGCCATATGGTACAAACATCTCTGCAAGGGATAAGCGGTAAAACAGGCTGCGGTTATCGTAACGAATATCGTGAAGAGTGAGGCCTTCTCGGTAATTGAATCCGATGTGCATGGACCACTTTTCCCATTCTAAAAAGTTGCCTTGTACCTTAAAGGACGGACCTTCAGGTTGCAGTACTTGATACGGCTTCGTTGTGGTTCGGGGAGAAGGTCGCAATTCAGGGATATATTCGGTTTCCGCTCCGTGAATTTTGCGGCGGTCAAATGGCTTTGGCTTTTCGTTGATACGGTCATCGGGACCCGAAGGCAATTGATAGATTTTAGTGACTTTCAATTCCTCCGATACCTCCGCACACAGATCTAGCGGATACGCGTAGTAGTTAGCATCGGCATTGTCCACCAACCGCATATAGAACCAGCACTATGCATCCTATTAGCGCCTAATTAAATAATTTCCAAGATAATGACTCACCATGGTGGTCCGCTGTGACATATCATTGAGACCATCTGTAGCGTATGCCCATGCCTCGACAATAACAGAAGCGCCGGCAGGTAGTTGAAGGAGCGTAATTTGTTCCTGAACTCTTGGATCTGCCAGACAGGCCTTCTCAACAGCTTGCATATAGTCGGAGTCGATGTACGGATGCTTTCCGACAAGATGCTGTTTTCCAAGTATGGCAGCTTGGTCGAGGTCGACCCAGAGTTCAATGAACTTGCTCGCCGGATCACCAGGAAGAACTACCTGAACACGGGCAATTCGCGCGGGCTTCTTGCAGGCAGCTTCTCCTTGATGCTCGTGCTCCATGAATGACATCATCTCAGCCTTTGCGGGCTCTTTCAAAGTAATCACTCGGAAATTGGGTGTTTGTCCTTGGAATTCGCGGCGCACAATTGCTGCGGCCTAGGCGATATTGTCATGCTTAGTCCCTAGAGATCATCTCGTCTTTTCACATACCTTTGCGATCTCCTTTGGAGTCAAAGGGTCAAAGGGGTGATTGAGCGACATGGTTGCGACAGACTTGAAATTGTGACCGTCGTGCGCAAGATGGTTGTTTCTTTTGTGCGAGATAAGAGCTATGGATGATGGCGTTTTCTTTAAATAGTCAATCTTGGAGCCCCGGAGTGGTAATGGCCAGAAACTGGCATATCCCCAAAGGTCAGTTTTAGGCGAAGGCATTGCATGAGGGTTTAGATGTGGGTATAGATTTGCGAGCTCCACTTCCGTGAAGGTAAGGATTAACCGGTCGACTCCAAAGGGCAAGACCGACCGTTCCAAATCCCAACGAAACCGGAACTTCCGCGCGGAGCTTCCGTGTGGGGAAAAACTAAACTTTAAGATCACAAGGTCCAGTTCAACCCTAAGAGTAACTTTAGACGCGATCTCCTTCAAGCTAGAATCTCATTTGTTACTGTAATGGCCGAGTCCATGCGCCATATTCGCTAAGGTATAAGCGCAGCCGAGTCATACTTCAACAAGATGCTCCTTCTTTCCGGCCCTAATCGGAATTGATTAGCAAACGATTATGTTTCCTCAGTATTCAATAATTCAGGATGAAAGGCTTTGGGACTCCGCAGAATTACATGGTCACTATTAGGGGCTTGAGCACATTCCCAGAATGCTGAGGTGCTTTGTACTATGATTTCCCCCAAGGAAGTCTCGCGCAGTAATTTGATCCATTGCCTATAAAGAAGCGACTCCCCTGAATAGACTATTGTATCCTTCATTAATTACTTCTAGTATATCTCATTCAGATTGTACATCAAGCGGCAACTTTCACAGCTATGTCAAACAAGCTTCCTTTCACGGTTAACTTCCCCTTTGAACACCTTCGTATTGTATAAGACATTAACATGCTTATAGTTAGACGACCGCAGCCTTCTTCATGAGGCTTCTTTACTAGATGGAAAATGATTCCAAGCCCAGCAGCAGCAAATGTTCGCCGTCGAAGGTCGGTCTCACCTATCAATCACCAGTAAGAACATTTTGTAACAGAAGCAAATAGACCCAGGGACGGGCCGAGTCTTCGCCCACTGTCCTAGCAACCGCCTTCCTGACGTTGATCAATACGTCGAATCCGCGCAGGCCGCGTTCCTCAAATACCGAGAAGCAAACCCCAGGGAGCGGGCCAAGCTCCTTCTAAGCTGGCACAACCTGATCACCAATGCACGAAGCGATATCGCCAAACTCATAGTCCATGAGACAGGCAAACCAATAACAGAAGCTCTGGGGGAAGTCGATTACGCACTCGGATTTGCATGGTGGTTCTCCGGGGAGGCTGAACGTGTCCGGGGCTCAGTCGCTCAGCCATCCGTCTCTAACAGACGCACGCTGGTAATCAAGCAGCCGATCGGCGTCAGTGTTGCCTTAGTACCTTGGAACTTCCCTGTTGCGATGACAATCCGTAAGGCTGCAGCGGCTTTAGCTGCGGGCTGTACAATGATCATCAAGCCCTCGCCTGAGACTCCGCTCAGCATACTAGCGCTTGCAGACCTGGCGTTGAGGGCCGGGTTTCCACCAGGCGCTTTGAATATTATCACGACAGATAACGAGAATACTCCGGTGGTTAGTGAGAGATTGTGCAAGCATCCGCTCGTGCGCAAAGTCACGTTTACTGGTAGCACTGCTGTTGGTTCGATCATCGCGAAGCACTGCAGTGATGGGTTGAAAAAAGTAGGTGTTAATTCGAATGCACAGACAAGTCTGCTGATATCTGCCGTGCTGATCCAACATTGAAATCCAAAAAGCATAACTCACAATATTATAGATCACTCTCGAGCTAGGTGGGAACTGTCCATTCCTAATTTTCGACGATGGTGATCTTGACCAAGCTCTGGCTGCACTAATGATCTTGAAATGGCGGAACGCCGGACAGGCATGCACTCACGCCAACCGAGTCTACGTCCAAAGTGGCGTTTACGACAAGTTCCTATCCATACTAATTAATGCCACAAAGAAAAATCAAGTCGGCCACGGCGCAGCCCCTCGCACCACAATGGGAGCATTGACAACAACTCGCGGCTTGGACAAGATGAAACGGCATATTGCCGACGCTATTTCCAAGGGTGGAAAGGTTGCCTATGGTGGGAAGAGATTAACAAATCTGTCTGGAAACTTTTTCGCGCCCACAATCATTTCGGGAATGACGCCCTCCATGCTAACGAGTCAAGAGGAGATCTTTGGTCCGCTACTTGGACTGTATCACTTTGAGACGGAGGAGGAAGCTGTCCGCCTGGCGAACGATACTAGCATGGGGCTTGCCGCATACTTCTTTACCAAAGATACTAGTCGCACATGGAGGTTGCTGGAGAGCCTTGAAGCCGGAATGGTAGGGATGAATACAGGTAATGTCGCCATGATCAAATTCCTTATGCAGGTCTTGCTCACAATTCAATAGGTAACGCTTCTGCAGCAGAGTCTCCTTTTGGAGGTATCAAGGCTTCAGGTTATGGAAAGGAGGCGGGCAAAGATGTGGCGATAGAAGAGTACCTGATTTCGAAGACTGGGACTTTGACTGTCGAATCCGTTTCGAAGCTTTAATTCGTTCATAGCTTAATTATATTGAGTTCATTGCAAGGTTTCACGATGATTGGTCAAGCTTGCACTGAACTAAAGATTACTTCGCTTTGTCCACAATATCATCCATGCCAACCTCGTTCCGGGTGGAGTCACCACGGTAGAGCAAGATGTTTACTGTGCAGAAGCTGAGGACCTGTAGAGACTGGGCTTACTGCGTCGCAACCCATTACTCCACATGACAACAGAACTCAGCATTTAGCAACTCTAAAACACCAGACTGTTTCTGAAGGAATGTTTCGATTTCGTTTAACTTGCACTTATAAATCTCGTGCAGGTTGCGTGGTGCTTTAGGATGCTGCATCTGACCGTACCCCAAATGCCTCACATTCTCGCTATAGATATCTCGTATCCAGGAGGTTCTCAACCTCTCTATAGCCTACTGACCAGGAGTCCTGTGCACTTTGGCCTATACTCTTCAGCAACAGCCGCAGAGCATTCCTATCCTCTTCATCACATTCCGGTGCCGCTTTCTCATACTCCTGAGGTTTGTGGAGACCGGTCATGTAAGGACTCGGGCCGTATCCATCATAGCACGCCATATAGCGATCATTCATGAGACCAATATTTATCTTGGTCTCCTTCTCAAACGGCATCCCTTCACCAGAGTACGACCAGCACGTTGTCCCCATGCGAAAATGCCGAAGAAGCGGCAAGCCTATCCGAAAGGCGTCAAAGAGATCATGCCACCGTTTCTCGTAGGAACGGTAGTGTTTGCTTAATTCAGGAGCATCCTCGCGGATTCGGATTTCCATGTCGGTTTTCTGGAATGAACAGCGTTCTATATTCTCATCTGTAATACCTACATCGTACAAGATCGTACAGTCATCTAGGTATAGCTCGGTGAGAGTCTCTGCATGCGAAATAATCCACTCCACCTGCGAGTCCTGCACGAATCCAAAATTGCCCAGTGCAAGGGTTTTGAGTCGCGGGAAGTGGATCCCATTAAGGTCGACCTTTGGGAAGAACCCCCAGTAATTATCGCAATAAAGCGTCAGGTGCTCCAATGATCCCATGGTGGGCTTCAGCCAGGCGGAGGGCATCTCTGCGAAGAACTCGTGGGGCTCGGGGAACTCCAGCTCTTCCTCTGGACTCGCTTCGTAATGCTCGGTCACAATGTTCAGCCGGAGCGACTGCAGACTGCCTAATACCTTAGCCATCAGGGCGCGAACCTCCGCATGTTCGATTTTGCGATCCTGTACATTCCGGATTGCTAGTTCTTTGATAGGTACATCCAAGGAAGTCAACCAGGAGAAGAACACGCTGAGAACTTTCTCGCGGTAGGTGGGCGTTTGGGGCCATTCGTCACGCCATCTTTCTACTCCATCATCATCAACGCAACAATTCTTATCAAAGCGTAAAACGGTGCTTTGCACCTTCGGGAACTCTCTAAGCTGCATGATGGCGTCTCTGAATGCTTCAGTGAGGGTGCAATCCTCATCTTCCGATTCCTTGTATGGTTAGTTTCTCTTATTTGGGACTCTTGAAAGATATATGGGCCAGTCAACTTACAAAGTCTCTGAAACAGGTATTGATGTAGACTTTCCTTACCATGCTCTTCAATATCGCGTCGTTGGAGATATTGTGAACTCTTTCATAGCTTTCTTCGTCGGGGAACAGACGGACGATGCGGAAGAGTTCCTGCGAGGCGAATTGCGCCAGCGTGCGACATGTCTGGCGCAGCTGTTTTAGGGCCGATTGATCGACATATGAGATGACTCGCGCGAGAAGTTCACGGGGTAGATGAATGAGCTGAGGCATTGTGGTATTCCAGGTAGGAGAGCGCGACTGCCAGTAGAGTGATGGGGCCACGCGCTATATAACCACGGCCCACAGAAAGAGAGTGGTTGTGGACCCGTTTGCACCGCAGCCTAAAACGTACGGCAGCCTAAATCTACAATACAGCTAAAATAAGTTGACTAGGTCCGTGTACACACGCACAACATTTGAATCTTGTACAACCTCCGACACTACCATTTTTGACCGTTTTTGTCAATTCAGGCGGCCGTACACTTGGCTTGATAAAATATATAGATTTAGTCAAGCTGGTCTGGTAACTAGTTAACTAATAGAAGTACCTAGTTAGTTATACTAAAAGCCTTGCTTCGTAAGTAGGGCTCTACCTATTTTATACCTATTTTATGCAGAAATGGGGGTTTTCGGTCCAAATCTTGAGCCCATGGCCGGTTCTGTAGAAGTCTACCTGTATATAGCCGCCTGGCACTCAGCTCCAAAGAAAGCGACGATAAAGAACTAGAATGAATTAAATCAGCACTTTTGCAGAAGCTATGTACAGTATACCAACACTCTGACGTTCAAGACTGCATTTGCTATCCCCGTTAACCTCTGCGTCGTGAGAAGGCTCCGCAAGATTTTCGTACGCCTGTGTCTCTGTAGGTCAATAAACATGCCTCAGTTTACTATGTGTAACACATCCTAGACAAGCATTCTTTTAGTGACCACTCGAAAGAAGCAATTTCTCAATTTCCAAACACCACCAGGTACTTATTGCGGGTTACGCAGGAGCTAAAGTGCAACCACTCAAATGACCTTATTTTTTTACTAGCTTGTCAGTACTAGTATCCTGCCCAAGGAAAGTAAGTCTCTTGGCGAAGCCGAACATATGATAATCCTTGTTGTAGGTTTCTCAGCCGCATCTTATGCCTTAAGGAGGTGATATTGCAGGAGCCGCGTCCCTTCTAATAGTTTGTTATACGGTGTACTACTCTTTAGTTACCATCGCCAAACTCCAGAAAGGCGAGTCGGTTCTGATCCATGTAGGAGCAGGCGGCATCGGCCAAACAGCAATTCGACTTGCATTGCATATTGGAGCCGTGGTCCATACCACTCCTGGATCAGATCAGAAGAAGCAATTGCCCATTGACAATTTTGGTATCCCCAAAAGCCACATCTTCTCAACGAGAGACACCGAGTTTGGGAACAGCATTCGAGAAGTCACTGGTGGTGTCGGCATAGATGTTGTCCTAGACTCTTTAGCACAGCCATTATTGGTGGAGTCGCTCGGGGTTCTTGCACCCTTCGGGCGCCTTGTGCAGCTTGGGAAAGTCGATGTTGTCGGCAGTTCCAGGATGGACATGGCATTACTGCAACCAAGCGTTTCCTTCACGTATGTTGACCTTGTCCAGCTATTTCATTGCAAACCGAAAGTGGCCGCCGATCTCTCCTTAGAAGTACAACACTTGGTTGAAACAGGCATCTTTCTACCCCCTGCCCCATTGCATATGTATCCTATATCTCAAATTAAATATGCATTTCGCCATTTCCAGAGCCGGGTTGCGGGCAAGGTTGTCCTCAGCTACGGCGTGGCTGACCAGGTCAAGGTAGGTTACGAGCCCCCTTCCTTTAATTTGTCCAAGATACGAGTAAATGGCTTACCGAATACACTTTTCACAGGTGATTCCTCGTAATATTGAATGCAAAAGCCTGTCCCCAGAAGGCACATATGTGGTAGCCGGTGGACAAGGTGGATTAGGTCGAGAGATATGCTCTTGGATGGCACAGCCAGGGGCAAAGAGCATTGTTATACTATCGCCATCTGGGTCTACGAATGCATCTACGCAGGAGCTCATCGAAGAGCTCGGCCGGCGAGGAACAGATGTGCGTGCCATTTCGTGTAACATTAGCAGCAGGGAGCAGCTAAATTTCGTGCTTGCAGTTTGTAGGCAGGAACTTCCTCCAATCCGTGGGCTTATTCAAGCCGCACTAGCCTCAGAGTGAGTGCCAACGGTACTTATCAATTTGTGGATCTGCTGCTTACTATACACAGGATTCCACTTTTGAGAAGATGACCCAAGATGATTATTGACAAGTGCTCAACCCGAAGGTTCGTGGAACCTACGCACTCCACCACGCGTTGAACGATGACCCACTGGATTTCTTTGTGATATTATCCTCCTATGTGGGACTGGTGGGGAACCCGGGACAGGCGAACTAAGTAGCTGCTTCAACCCTCCAAGATGCCTTTGCACGTTGGCGAACGTCACAGAGAAAACCCACGCGGTCAATCGACATAGGACCGATTGAAGGAGCAGGCTATCTGCATGAAAAGCCCGAGGCTTTGGATAATCTGCGGAAGTCCAACCTGGAGACAATTCCCTTGGACCATTTGCTCTCCACCCTGGCCGTTGCAATTTCCGACCAGATTGATGATGTCTCTGCCAGCCAGTTAGCACTCGGCTCGTTCACGCCCAAGGCACCGAGAGAGAGCAGTGCTCACCTTGACGATCCCTTCACCAAGCACCTACATATCCTAAAAAAGCCCTTGTCTGCAGCTGCCTGTACTGGGGCTGTTGTGACCCCTGAAACAATAATTTTTGAAGCGCTCACGGTTGATCGACCCACCCAGGAAGTTTGGGCCAGAATCCAGCTTGCAATATATCACGTGTCACAGATGACGGGCGTTCGGTTACAGGAAATTGACCCTCTCCAGTCAGTTATCTTCCATGGAGGAGACTCATTGATTGTTGTGGAATTCAGGAATTGGCTGCAGCAGGAGCTCAGAAAGTCTTTCCTATCGGGCAAGAATATCGGATAAGTCTCGCTACAGGAACCGGCGAGGTTGGCGGCCACGTCTCACTGCGAGTTACGTGTTAATAGTAAACGAACAGTCCTTTGGCTTTTACAGTAAATAAAAAGTTATCAACAAAGCCTATATTGTTTCACCAGCCATTAGAATAATGGTATGTCGGGTTGCTACACACAATTACTATCGGAGGATTCCGGTGTTGTGCCATCCGGGCAATGTTACAGGTCATCGGGATCGTAATCGGCTCCCATACCCGCGATGTAGTTACTAAATTCTTCAAACGAAAGCGTCCCTTGCGTCGTCTTGCAGGTCATCATGAGCTTGGCTATCCTAAAAGCTCCTCTCATCACCTGCAAAAATGGATTTCCAACAGTGCAGGCGTCATAAATAGTTGAAAGTTGGCTTAAATACTTCCGCAGACTGACATTTACTCTACCTTGGGGCTGACCCCTATCATCCTTGTGTTCTAGACCCCAAAACTCATGTGTCATATCAACCCGAGCCTTACTTAGGCCATCGTGCAGCGAAACGTCAACGTTATGAGGGTATCAATCGGGGTGACCTTGTGAACCTGATGAACATCCACAGACAACTAGCGACCTATACCTTGCGTTGTGGTATGCGTACAGTTCACTTTGACCCTGGATTACCATAACTGTTCCGAACACCTGATGGACGCGGTGGCAATTGATAGCTATGGTAGATCACACCACTACCTCTACTTTACTACCGAGTATGACACTTCGCAGTCTAACATTTATCTGTGACGGATAACGGCATGTGCCACCAGTGGCCCACTTAGACGTTCAATGTCTCAAACTTTCTGCACGACCCCTCTGACAAAGTCCTACAGTGGCGGCATCTCTTTTACAGTGTGTACCTCTAAACACCTACCTTCAATGTTTACACGCTCAAGGTCAGTCCATCAGTTACAGAACGTCTTTCGGCGGCCATAACGAGCCTGTGCATGCACTTGATTGTTTCCCAAGTTTAGGTCACTCCCCGAGAATGGAGCTTAGGGAGCACAAGTACCACCCTTCCAGGGAGCATGGGAACCCGCGGATTTGGAATGACTCGTCTCCACCCTCTTCGTGTGACCTGATTCTTAGTCCTTGCAGGGGCTCATAATCAAGCGAGGTTTGTTTTTTTTTTTTTTTTTTTTTTTTGCACCAGCCAGCCAGCTGTACATAAATGAAAATCGCCATGAGAGGGGTTTTTGGCCTTTCACCTACCACACAGCTATAAGTTGCATCGTGGCGCATATTTAGTAGTTCTTGGCAGAAGCGAAGAATGACACGATGTCACTATGTAAGAAGCCGTCGGACGTCCAATGATTAAAAGCCCCGGCTGATCCGCCAGCGGTGCCCAGAGTTAACATCCGGATGTGGCTGCGGTAGATTGTCTTCATGTAACCCTAACCCCGCATTTAAATCAGAAACCTCGCCAGTACATTGAGAAAGTGAAAGTCAGTGTTGATGCTGAGTGGCACCAATTGTAGAATGAATGTCCGTCCGGCTTCCATATACCTGATATAGTCGGAGCGGGGATCCTGGTAATCCAAGTGAGACATACATCGCTCCAGCTCTGTCGCACTTCGGTATACACAAGATGCATTCCAATGAGTGAATAACTGGGGAGTCGGAGAATCGGTTACATTACCCGACACCTATAAAATTCCTGCAGGCCCATGTGGAGGTATGGGTATAAAAGGAGGCAAGTCACTGCACGAACAAGAATTATAATCAGTGTAGCAAACTTCTGTTGCCATTGACCTACGATTAACGCAATACCATTACCCAATTCAAAACATGGGTTACAAGACCACTGTTGTCCTAGGATTGGTCCTACAGCTGCTGTCTGCCAGCGCTGCCACGACCCTCGCCACGACTACCACGTCCTCAAAAAAATACGAACCTACCCAGCCGGGTGTGCCACCTAACTGTGACAAGTTCCATCTCGTCGCGGCTGGCGATCAGTGCGATACTATCGAAGCCAAGTACGGCATAACGGACGCCCAATTCAAAGCCTGGAATCCTAGTATCAACTCCGGTATGTTTTCTCTATCCAACACACGGCGTGCTATGACTGGCTCCTAACCCCCGTTCATAACAGCATGCTCCAATCTCTGGCTAGACTACTACGTTTGCGTCCACGTCCCGGATGAAACAACCACAACGACAACGACGAGTAAACCACCAGGGCCCACGGACACCCCTCCCGAGCCGCGAATGCCCGGCATTGTGAGCAACTGTAAGAAGTATTACCTAGTGAAGAAGGGTGACGACTGTTACTCGATCGACACTGCTGCAGGCATTACACTTGCTCAGTTCCGCTCGTGGAATACGATGGTTGATGCGGCTTGTAGCAACTTGTGGGTGGACTACTACGTCTGTATAGGTGTCTAGACTTAGTTGTTTCTTTCCTTTGATCGAGATATGACATATTATCTTGTCAATTGGAGGAAAGGAATGCAACAGCCAAATATATGACTGAACCTGACAGATTGGCAGGCAAAACCTAGTGGGTGAGGATTTTTGCATGTCATGTACTAGGTGGGCCAGTGTAGATTGATAATATGCTTAGCAGTCAGGCCTTACTAATGAGGGATATCTACCCTGGGAATATAATTATGCAGTTATTTGCACGACCTAGTGGATAGGAAATTAGTTATCAGATTAAGACTTTCATAAAGGAGATTTGATTGATAATGAATTAAATCGCAACATTGCTTGCGATGCACGATGCTTCTTACATTCACCAAAAGTCTCTGAGGTCTTCATATTCATAACTTACAAGCTCGGGATATGGATAAATTTATGTTGGAGCGAGAGATCGCAGATCCTAACACCTAATCATAACCAGTGCATCCGCCTCCCTGTCTAGTGCTTCCAAGTCAGCAGGGGTGAGCATCTCCTACATAATTCGTTGTGTAAAAGAAGAAGTAGACTTGGCTATTCTCACCCATGTTTAAGTGCCTAGAGCTCTTCCATTGTGGGACATGTACGGTGAGTGGTAGGCAAATGGCGAACACATTAATTCGGCTCCCTTTATCTTCCGAACTCTTGTTTCTATTGGCAGTTTAGCCTATTGGGGTTAATTAGATAGCTTAACAAAGGTAAGCGCATTGTCTAGATACAGAACATAGCCTTCCATGAGTCAAGGCTTCTGAACCTTTTCGTACTCAGGCAACGCTCATTTCACCATCAATTCAGACGCAAGAACCTCCTTAGCAGAAGGGAGATTTTCAGACCTAAAGGAAAGCATTGACCATAGCAACGACAGAACAGCGTCTCGCTCAGCTGGCTCAAATGGAGGCACCCCTTCTGCCTGTCGAGGTTACTGTACACTATCTTTGAAACGGTTCCGGTTCGCCAATGATCGATACAACTCTCGATTTATTGGCTTCTCATCCTCGCTCAACTTATTTTGCCACGCCTTCTATTTGTTCCATCACCCAGGGGGGGAATATCAAGTGCATCAACATGGTCGCGGGTCACCTGGTCCTCACTTGCAAGAAGCCTTTCAAGCACTGGACGTTGCGTAATGGTGTCCCATATCAAGCAGGCGAGCGACCAGATATCCGATGGAAAAGAGAGAGGCGTTGTGCTTTCGAAACGAGCCTCTGGTGCCCGGTTCACAAGAGGAGTACAAGTCTCGAACTTGTCATGCTTGGCAGGAAAGAAAGCCTCGCCAAAGTCGGAAAGCAGAATTTTGGCGTCTGAAGGCGCAAGTTCCTCACTTGCATCTCCAAACCAGACTGGTACAACAGCGCGTGATGGTATACACGCTGAAAGCTCTTTGCCATCCAAATGAGTGACAGCCTCAGACCCTGGCTCACCATATATGTTATATAATTCTTCATCCGACAAGCGAGTAAATCCAAAGGGTATTTCAGTACGAACGTTACCACAATAAAGATCACCATGAGCGAACCCTTGTGTATCTATATAATCAACTGCGATGACAAGCTGCGCTGCTATTACTCGCGCAGCTTCTAGCTTGAAAAGGCTGACATATGATCCATCTTTTGCATCAGAAAGACTCATGCTTGCCGGGCAAGTCACGTAGCATGCATAGGTGCCATTTGGACCTTGGATTTTGAAACTGTCCAACCAAGACTATAGGAATTATTGATATCCCCGGACTATTACCCACGAGCTGTTGTGAGCTACAAAGGCTAGACAGGATGTCGAATTCGTGCGAATTTCATTCTGCTGTACATATTTTGGAAGCAACTCATTTGCTCAGTTTCTCATCTTGAGCCAGCCAAATTGTTGAATACGAGCTATTGCGCAGTTTATGAACTACACGATAGCGATCGTGGGACTGATCTCAAATCACCACAGGGTGGTGGCCCCTTACGGTATGCCTTTGTAATTTCTCCACATCCTCGATGCGAACGTACAAGTGACACAGCACCGAGCTACCTTTAGGTAAATTCGACATGGTAGTTGAATTGGAAAAAGTGTAGCAGGACCGAGACTGGTAAACCAATGTCCCTGGTGCCTTGCCAGAAATGGGATATAAAGACCAACACTTAATCCTTGATTCTGACATGTGACGTCTCCCAGTTTTAGTCTATTCGATATAGCGCTGTTACATAGCAGTACGGCTACGCTACCACTACGTGCAATAAAAAGGGCATCTGGGTCTGTAATAATATCCAAGAGGTAAGGATCCTGCGTTACGCGATATATGATAAGCTCGAAGCAATTATCACCCACAAGAATTCCAGAACACTTGCTGTCCCTTTTCCCGCGGCGGTCTGCAGGTGCAATGGTATCTCCAGAGATGCTCGTGCTGGACCTGCAAAGTAGATTTGCCTTAGTGGCGGCATCCTTTCCAATTACTTTGGTGGTGGAGCTGCTTGGTTTGGCTGCCTACATTGTGCGTCCGGTAGGTCAAACCTAAATACACATGGTCACCAGTCGTGGATACCAGATAGATGCGACTCCTGTGGTTAACAGAGCATTGTGTAGAAGAATCTAGTGTGGCCTGATCGGACGAGATCTCTAGGAAATCCCGCACAAGCACGGCTGTCCCCACTATCTTCGCATGGGAAGGAGATGTAGTGTGGGTTCTAGAGCTCTAAGAGGGCAATGCTTGGGACCGGTACAACAGGTTACCAGTAACAACAGATATAGATAATTTGTTCGTAGCTGAACTTGATCTTCTAGCCGATATTGACTTCTCCAATTTGCTCACATTTATAAGCATGATGTCTATCTGGAGAACCTTAAATCGTTCGGTACAAAGTGGTACGAGAATATGGAGGACTATCCTGTAGCCGCTGAGATACTACTTGAAGTATAGTAGAATTTATAGTGCAAGGTTTGTTACAGAGTCAAAGTAACCCGAGGGCTTTTAAAGATCCAAGCGAGGGAACAATAGCATAGCAAGAGCTGTATTGCGATAGTTCACTAGTGGTCTCACCCGAGGCATTTTCACTGGCCTTCAATAGTAGGGATATCAAAGGTCAGAACCAGTCCGGACTTATTGTTGTACAATTGTCAACTTGAGTAAGAATAATAGTTTATCGGAATATTTAGCAGATCCAATATCTGATTGATAATTATACTACAAAATTATTCTATTCAAAGCGTTCTTGCCTCCTCTCGTTATTCACGCAATACAAAAACAAGTACTCGTGAGTACTGGCAACGGAAACATTGCACGAGAAGTCATGGGACTTGTCATCACTGGGGCGATCCTTTGCTCGATTGATATCGAGGTCATGACTACAGATGCGGGTAATTGGGATATAGTTCCACTTAAAGAGAAGGGTACATGTCCGGTAGAGCACAATTTTAGCGCTACAATCATATCCGATAGACACCTATAGGTGGTAGCAATCAAGGCCAATATAGAGTTGTACTGTTGCTGATCAAGATATTCCAATGCATTTGAGAGAATAATCAGCGAACTGCCTCTTCTGTTCAGCGTCGTCTACTGCTGCGAATAGTCCTCGCCTGGGGGGAAAGAAACTGATCAATATCTTGTTGTGGACTGGTAGGTGATACTACATATACACATAACCTCCTAAACTTCGAACGCGCCTAGTTCGTTTAAGCCATGTGCATTACCGAATACCAGGTCTCGCAACCTCCTATATCGGGCACATGGGTCTACGAACACGACTAGGAGGGGTATATATAGAAAGACTACAAGGCAGCACTGAAGCATGTGATGCATGGCGCCGAGTTGAGAGACATCAACCTTGTACGGGCGTCGAGTGTTGCCCTTGGAGTATTGATGAGGTGATAAGAACAAGAGAAATGGGCATATCGACCATTTCAGATAGTGACTAGAGTTAGAATTATATAGCCGGTTTTATTGTCACGGTTGCTTGATATATATTTATATACCAGACGGCCCTCAGCACTGCAAGATAGAAAACAGGTTCCAGCGGCGTAGGAAATCTGTACTACATGATCAAAACCTGCTCCAGATATTAAAATTCAAATCTTCCTTGGGTAAGGCTTCTCAAACTTCAACCACTTCTCCGGCACCTCATGTATCTGTCCTGTTTCCAACTCCTGTGAGAACCACTGACTGAATTGTCGAAACTCCCACTTTGTTGCGCCCGACCCCGGGCCCAAGTCGAAAAACCTTCCGTCTGTGGTTTCGAATCCGGATGGCACCACATCAGCCGTACACCGATCGTTCAGAATAGAAACGCCGCGACTTATCATAGCCTTCATAGTCTCAACGTAGCGCTTCGCGAAGTCGGCAGGGGAATCGCCATCTCGTTGTGGGACATGATTGCGTACCTCGCTTTGCAAGATGACGGAACCAGGATCGGCACCCTCGGCGATGAGGCGGTCGCGCTCCTGGCGCGCCGAAGTCGCGTAGTCTCGGGGAGTCTCGTAGACCATAGGCTCGTTGTCCGAGTCGTGAGGAACCCCGTCGTCTCCATGGCCCTGAGCTGATTCGGAGTCTATCACACCCGAGGGTTGGTCGAGGTCTTTTCTTCGGACACCCATAGGTGTTGCGGCAACCTCCTTCATTTTCAAGTTATTTTGATCGTCGTTGCAGTTGTGCTGTACAGAAGAGATTAAATGATAGGTGAAAGTCTGTGGAAGCATAGAGAAAGCCTGGTCTGGTATGAGGGGTATGAATACGCTCTGTATGCTGACTAAGAAAGAGTAAGGCAGCAGTATGAAGTAGACTACGCCACAAGAACTAGTTCTACTGTGGAAGACCTCGCACAGTGCGGATTTAGCAGCTCAGTTCAACCGTTCTATCGAAGGTATAGCCGTCTAAACTGCGAGGTTTGACGGGCTAAGCCTCGCTGAATCCTTTCTTTCTACAGGAAGCGCTGTATGGACCTTGACTGAGGCAATGCCGACGGTGTTCCATTATGCGATTCTGCTCGGAGTGCGCGTATCATTTCTAAACTGACGCCTTGCTATTATCAAATGTAGTTGCGAATGTGCGTGATTTCATCACTTGTTGTAGCCCCCAGGCGGCAACTCCGCCGCAACACTATGCTCGTTATGGCCCATCTCGACGGGGGGTGGAGCCTGCATTTGTGGCACCGGGGCGTACTGATAATTCTGGTACATCGCAGCCTTCAACTGATCCATTTCCCTTCTGGCAGTTACGGTCTTCTTTCTCTCCCAGGCGCCCCAAATCAACGCAGTGGCCGCAATGATACCCAGTGGGAGACCAAGTCCCAAACCGATAGCTAGCTTGGTTGACTGATCGTCGGATTTCTCCGGTTTCTCTGATGATGATGATGATGATGTGTCGTTACTATTACTAGTGGAATGAGTGGCGCTAGAGCTAGGAACAGATGTCGAGGCCACGGATGCCAATGCGGCGACACCCGGAATAACGGTGCCAGTGGGGACAGCGAATGGCCCATCACCCGAGCACTTGATTCCATCAGACGCGGAGGAGCTGACGACCGAGCCGCAGCAAAACTGGTGGTTGGCGATATCGGCGTTGACAACGGGGTATCCGGATGACGGATTCGCGCGGGCTATATTCGATAATTTCAAATTAGCATGGTGGATCTTTCAGAAGGAGGTAACAGGCTGAGCCGTACCACATGGTCTTGCAGCTACGCAATCACCAGTCCAGTTTATATCGGTGCAACTGCCTCGTGATAGAACCATATCGCCAGTACTTTGGACCCAACAGAGACCGTTTGACATGCAGATGTCATTTTTGTTACAGCAATGGGTGGTCTCTTTGGTCGTGCAGGGAACGTCGTCGACCGCGACTGTCTTTTCGTCGACCATATAACATGTTCGGTTATCCGCTGCTGACGTCGTGCTTGACAGTAATGGTGCAAGGAGGATTAGGCGACAGACGCCAAGAATTACAGATGATCTCATTGTTTTTGAAATCTTTTTCAAGGGGCCAAGAGAATAGAGATGGAAACAAAAACGAGTGTTATCCTTCTAACCCAGGACCCGGGAGATCTATACAACGGACCATGAGAAAGAAAGGCAGGGCAGGGAGTAAAGCAGAAGGGGTATTCTCCTTTTCCCCTTCTTCGTCTGACATGACTGGAGCTAAAAACTGACAGCGAAAAGGATTGTGACCGTGTTAAATTAAATTAGTGGGCAAATGATATGCTCCGCCGAGGCTGGACGGGGTTCAGGGTTTGCAGTCATGTTGGGGGCCAAAACAGGGGCTGTTGGTTATCTCGGTTGCCGATCGTGCGGCTGTGTCAGCAGGCATAATTTTATTCGCTATGAAACCTTTGATCTTCATGGAGAGACCCTGTTCAGTCCAAGTGGATATTGCGATCGGTGCGTTTAGGCCAACCTGAAGGATTATAGAATGTGCAGCTAGTCTACAAACGGCTAGTTGTCCGGGTTGAGTCTGCTTCAAGAACTGCCGCACCCTTGATCTAACGTTATATCAAACCTTACAATAGTCACTTGGTGACAGGCGAGGTACTACAATTTCTCAAGCACAGTAGAGGCTCTTGATTCGTGAATGCTTGCTGGTTCCCCACTGGCCAGGCGGCCCAAGACAGTCTTTGACTTTAGTCTTTGCCTATATACGCTGACAAACAATCAATCATTGAGTCATATATATCTGACGACCGTGCTTCAAATGTTGTCAGCCCCCTGGGCTCAATCATTCATCATCAACTCAATAGGTTTGAGTTGCCTCTTTCTGAGATCTCGAAAGTTCCTTTTCAGCCATGGCCACCACCTTAGTACCGTCCACCAGAAAAGATAATGTACCCCATTTCACTGCTATCAGGAGTCTACATGGGTGCCAATATGATGTCGGCCAGCCCGTAGTCCCCGGCCTGCTCCCATTCCGCGGTTCCGGGGCCAAAGAACCCTCACGGGTCGTGCAGATCACAGGTCCATCCCTCTGGGATTCTGGTAGCCTGGACATACACCATCAATTAGACCAGATGAATGTAGGATGAATGTTCGGATGTGCATTAATACGACTTACGTGGCTCCCCATAAGCTGGTTAGGAGGAAAGGTTCCCTGGTGATGGCGGTTAGGGGAATATTCCGACATAAGGCTGTCCTTCACAGTAACTGGAATAGGGCAAGCCCTGGAAGGTGCTCTCAGGCCTTACCTATGGAGCAAGATCGGCTCCTCGTGTAATGAGATATGGCATGACTTCAAGTTGGCAATGTACGGCCAATGTTACATAGAGAGAGAGAGAGAGGTAGAGATAGAGATCTGCATTATACCTGAATACAGCTCCCGGTTGGGGCTCTTCCGGGTCGTCGACAGCCAGTTGGCCAACCGGTGAGGCTAACTCAGATATAGTAGAAACTATATTGAATCGGGTATCGAAAAACCTAATATCTTAGAAAAAGATATATAGATTCGAATAGGAATAGATTATTTATGCACTAAGATGTTCTATACAATCGAAATCTATATAGTATATTTTAGGACACTGGCCCAGCACCTTGCCGTTGCCTTGCTCATTGTGGAGTAGCCATTGCCTGAGGCAACCGCCGTTACACCACATTTATGAATCGACCTGTCGTGCGTATTTAATATAGTGCGCAATGGGGGCAACAAGCCAGCTCAATCAGTTTTGAGCCTGTTTCGGCAGCTTTAGATCTTCCCCTAAGCCACAAAAGAAAGAAAGTGAATGAAATTGGTTTTATGGCTATATTATCGCTAAGAGAGAGAATAATCATGGTTGCTTATGCAGAACTTCCGATTGCGAGCGATCTGACGGCTATTATCCATTCATTAGCATCCCATCCTAGAGACTGTTATGATGAAGCTGAACTGATCATATTCGTTGTCGCGATCTCAGTGAGAAAAGCGAGCTCTACCGAGAAGAGGCCTACTCATTCTATCTAAGGAAGAGCTCTCTTTCCCTATGTTACTAAATGACGAAGACCTGACTTCTGTGAGATATGTATATATGTGACAGGGAAATAAGAAATGCCAGACACAAGATAGAACATATTACGCCCCACTGGAAAAAGTCCTTGGATGAGTTCAATTGTCAGGCCCTCAATTGACCCATTCACGCCCCCGTACGCTTGTGTCGTCGACTGAAGGGCGTGTTCTTCAACCCTGGCCACCCTGAAGCGATTGTCTTTCGAAAGTGAATGCGCTCATCTTCAGTCGAGTAACGAACGTACTCATTACCCTTGAAGAACCAATATTCTTCACTGGTGCCAGTCTTGACTGCGGCGTCAATATCACGGACAAACGGGGTGTCCTTCAATCCTGGCCATCCATCCACAATCTTCTTTCGGAAATGAATCATTTCATCGTCGGTTGAGTAGCGGACATACTCATCCCCTTTGAAAAACCATAACTCTCCACTCGTCTCGCTTCTGATCACCGCATCAATACCTTGGATGAATGGCGTGCCTTTCAGTCCCGGCCAGCCTTCGACAATCTTCTTTCGGAAGTGGATCTTTTCACCATTCGTAGAGTAGCGAACATATTCATCTCCTTTGAAGAGCCAATATTCATCTGAGGTCCCAGTCTTGACCGCGGCGTCAATGTCTTCACTGAATGGAGTATTGCGAAGTCCTGGCCATCCGTCCGAGATCTTCTTTCGAAAATGAATGCTTTCGTCATTGGTTGAGTAGCGGATGTATTCGTCGCCCCGGAAAAACCATACTTCTCCATCAGTTCCAGTCTGAACGCCTGCTCCAATCCGTTGCTTCGACTGACAGAGTCTGCGGAGCGCATCCGACGCATCTCGCCGGACCATGCCAGAGTCAAGCTGTATAGCCCTTCGGTTCTCATCATGCGTGTGGGGAACCCCCTCACACACACTGTCGTCAATATCAGGAGAGATAGTGGTGGTAGAAGCCACCGCAGCAGACTCGGGGCACAGCTCAAAGCCTCCACGGTTTCCTGGCGGGTGTCGGATGAACCCAGCTAACTCAACCTGACCATTGCTGGAGATTGCACCTCTGGCAAAGCTTTGATCAGAATTGGAACATGTAAACGAGAAAGGGATTCTACTTACAGGATTCGGACAGCGCCGGGGCTACCGCCACTATAGATCGGCTCGGTGGAGGGCAGGAGAGGAAATTCATATAGTTGAGTATCCTCAAATCCCGGGAACGGGAGTCTTTCGTAATTATTAAACACGTGAGGATATCCTTTTCACTAGAGGTCAGTATACACCCATCGTGTTAAGCAGTTGCATACGTACTAGCACGGCCCACGAGCTCCTGTCTAAGCCAGCGGCGTTGCAGCTCCTTCAATGTCCTTTCGATATTCTCCGGAGTCTGAGCTGGTTTTGGGGTTGTCTGGCGCTTGCCAATCAGTCCGACTGGACATGCGTCTACCCCTCCATTGCCATCGAGGATACTATACTCGTCGTCCTTTGAAGGGGGCCGCGTGATCTGCGTTTCGGCATCTCCAGTCGCATCGACGAATTGGACATGCTCGTCTGCCCTCTTCACGATGATACTTCTAGTTTGGCCTGCAATGGGCTGGCCAGGTAATGCTGACACCACAGCCCCAAAGGCAGCAAGCCAGAAAAAGGGACGCATAGTAAAGGGTCAAATCCTATTGTCACAGGCGGGGGAAGATTGTTTGAGAGGATGGTTTATGAAATTTTGGGTACGTATCGCACAGGCTGACTGCAGTATATATAGGCTCCGTGGAGACCATTCAAATGAGCCATTATTTCTTACAGGCCATATATCAGAGAGAGCCCAGCTCTGAATCAAAGTCCAGTTTCTGGAATGGGCCATTTCCACGCCTCTTCACATTCAACCTGAACAAAAACATGCTCTATTTCCCACAACCTTGGCGTGTCTGTGACTTCGTGAAACTACCTCAAAATGTCTCTATGTCAGGCCACTAACCCACCGCAGTGAAGACCTGATCAATCACATGGCTCAATGTGCCCTTCGAGCCTATCGGATCCGGAAGGCAATAATAGCAGTATTTTCACTTTGCGCGTGTTTCTGTTGTTGGTTACCTATAGTCTCAGCCTCCTGGAAGGCACGGCACTTGGCATGCGGTCTAGAATGCAGCTCTATGTTATGGAGTGTGGCTAAGGTGGATGGCTTTTAGGGGAGCCATACATTAATTTACTGGCTACCGCCCGAATTGCCCCACTACAGATCGACTGTGGTGCGATATAAGTGCACATCTATCCATTAAGGGCTGCATGAAACCCTGCAGTAGCCTGTGTATATTTTGTAACCTGCAATATCTGTTCATTAGGCTGTACTTAAAAGAAACTTGGCAACTCAAAATAAGTTTATCATTGCTATAACATCGTGGTCCATCCGCTAAGGTTCCACAATTGTCAGATACGAAGTCAAGCTCTAGTCTGATAACATATATAGCATAATGAATGGCGTCTCTGACAGAACCAGCTGAACTGCTTATCTGCACATCACACATGGCTGATGGAAGTGAGGGAAAGTCACTTCTCTTGAAGATCTAGTCAGTATCCGATTAATGGGGTCATAATCTGCGAGAATAACAGTTCACAGACGAAGATCTCGATGTAGTAATATCCTCGACATGCCAAGCACTTTAGGCAATAAAATTTCGAGGTTAAAACGGTCTGGAAAACATTGTCTGTGGGTCTCGTCGATCCTGCCATGGCCAAGCCCTGATGCAATGCCACACCGTCACAAACTTCTAGCCAAACGCGATCCCAGGGGAGACAAGAGGTTACATCAGATCGAACCAGTTGGATTTCGGAGTGATTTCCTCGCCTATCGGGTTTCCTGTCCTTAATGACAGGCCACCCCAACGACAGCTGATTCGTGGTGGGTCTGGATGAAACAACTATTAGTGAATCGATAACTTAATTTCTTGGGCTTGTCGTGTCTTAGGTCTCATTCTGCGCAAAGGAAGTTAGGATCAGATAGCTGGGTTACCGCCGATAATTACCAATATAGACTATTATACCCCCTACCACCGTGGATTCGCTAGGGGTATTTCCTCTTTACAGGTGCTCTAGTTGACTGCGTTTACAACATTAAGGTTTGGAGTGTCGCTGGTCTGGGCTATTAGAACCTTCTTAGAACCTAGTCCGATGCCAAACTACAAAGGTCTAGCCGTAAGCCCGGACAACCGACGATTCGCGTGCTCTCAAACTTTTTTCTTGACCAAAAGTCGAGACACATACTTTCACCGCTGGAACGAGAGGGAAAATTGTTAACAATGTCGATCAGCCTCTCCTTACCAGCCCTCATCCATGAGGAGACAGGCGTTGTTGAACAAAAAGTGATTCATACTCTCGAAGGTCTTCTTCATAGCTTCGATGCGGATTATATTCGAGTAGCCGCGGAGGAAATTGACGAGCTTAATCCTGCGAGGCACTCAAAGAAGGCACATAAAGAAGTCCAGGAGGACGAACTTGAGGAATTTCTCTGGCTGGTGTGGGATGCCTTTATCCGCCTTGCCCGGCAAGTTCCCCACGCTCACCCCTTTCAAGACCGCATGGTAGACCTTGTGGAGGCTCTTACACTCTTGCCTCCGTTGAGCGTTGAGGTTTGGCAGGTGGGTTATCTCTATATCATGTTAATTATAGAAGGCCACTTGGGCTGAGTATTGACTATGTATAGTCGACCATCCGTCTCTGGGCGGATCTCCCTTTGCTCGGTCCCAGCATGAGAGAAGCATGGGTTGGTGAGTTTCATAGCTAGCCTTTCCTTGGATCACTGCTCACACGAATAGCACCCCCATCCACTGAGGGCCCCATTGAAAGCCACGAGGCAGAGGAGTGGATTAATTTGAATGCGTTCGCCGCACGACTTCTTAGGCTCGACGCGATATCATGGACCGTCTTTGGTATATGGGAACTCCGGGAAGCCCTTGAAGAGCCATCTGAGATTCCCGGGAGCGGATTTCATGTCATAGCGGCAGCAGAATGGATCAAGCACAGTGGTGTATTCCTCTACGGGGCAGCGATTAATGGGACAGAAGGCCATGAGGAACGCCTCTCGGCTGCAACAGGATCTTTATATCATGGTTCCAATGTGGTGTGCCTTAAAAGGTGGGAATTTTGGAAGTGTCGCTTTGGTTATATCGGCGAAAAAGCTGGCGATTGTACCAAACAAGTTGCTCTGAGAGCTAGAAGAGAGATGGAATTGATAGAGCAAGAATGTACAAGTTAAAGCATGCTAGCATAGTAGCATTGAGTCGTCTAAACGCGTATATGATTATGAAGCTGGAAATAGTTTATTCTCTTAGCAAAGGTTTTATTATGGCTTGTACGCCGACTTCTTTCAAGCAGGGTAGATGGATATGGAGGTATCTTGGTTGCTTCGTGCTGTAGAAGATTCCTTTGCCTCGACGGTGATAAGCTTGTAACTCTAATGGGAAGCCAGGATGGTTCTATTTAACTGTGGATGATCATTTGCGAGACCTAGAGCAACAAACATTAATTCTGTCAGAGTGTTGGCAGGCTCCGTCTTGTTTGCTCCACGAGGTCCAATAGCTCCCTCAAACTAACAGACAGAATACTGACTGCTTAGGTGGATAATCAGGGTGAATGAGAGCGTCAATAAACGCCCAAGAGAGCATTCTTCCAAGCCAAAATGCGATTGTCGAGGAGAGACTGGAGAGGTGAACTACACTAAAGCCAATTAATAGAGACAAGACAAGAGCCGACCTCCGTCGGCGCTACGGGGAAAAACCATAAGTAGTACGATCAGCGGCTGTCCGTCACCAGTGACTACCTATCACCAACGATATAAACCAGACTCAAAGATTCCAAGGGTTTGGAATCGCTGTCATTGACAGCTTAGAATGTGATATTCCGCAGAATAACACAGAACGACATTGATGCACTAACGGTTAAGAACATATTCCGGTGCTTCGACTGATGGCATATTTTCATGATAGTTGTGCGCTAAGTATCAGGCAGTGCTGAGATTATTCTTGGTTGGTGTGCTTAGAAAACTATAAATTCAAAAACGTTAGTGAATACCATGGCTGTGAAAACAGACTGATTTTTATGCATGTAGAGCTGGATCCAGGTCTTTGTACCAACAATTGTATTTCTTCCTTATATATAGTATGCAATAGTTAGCTACTTCGGACATGGCAAAGTTACATAACTAATCAAGAGCAGCCAGTGCACACACAAATGGGAGTACTAGTTAAAACATCCTAGGCTAGCCTAACTCTTAACAAGCAAAGACTAGTCCAAAAGTTTCGAGCGCTTTGCAGGAGTATGGTCTACTTACCAAATTCTCGTATATGGGTATTGGGTTGCGATATGAAATTTGCGGGAAAACTACATTGTTTCGTATTATTCTGGATATGGTTAAACCCGTACAAGGTAACTGCGTACGTCCAATAGCTGTAGGGATAATCTCGCTCTAAAAAGCTGCTACTAACCCACCTTTGAAAGCCAAGTCTAATCTACACGACAGTTCCGCCTTAGGGGCCACAACAGCTTTTATCCTCATATCCATACCCACAAGAATTGGCTATTACTGAAGGATAATTGTTATCTGTATGAGCCGCCTACTAAGCATAGCCCCCCGGCAAGGTTTCTGGGTACTGGTCGATGGTTTTTCGGTCTACTTAGCGTTATGGGTGCTTTGTTAACCTTCACAGTAGCCCGTCCGGATGCTCTTTGAGTAAATGTGAGACGCTAATCCCACCAATAATTTATCTCTGGTCTACCCGCTTTAAGGCCAAAGTACTTCCTGTATGTTTCACTTGCGTTTCATGTGCTTTCTCAATAGGCTTCCCGATGGCAACCATGATATACACAACCGTTTAAAAAGTGACCAGACCCGCCTAGCACAGAATAATTACGGAGAAGAGAATATAATTAGACGTTGTTTGAATGATGCTGTTCTAATCTTAGCCAGCTGCTGGCCGAGCAACGAGCTTGATTTACGACTACCAGCATCGACCTAAGTATCCTCCTGCGCCAAGGTAGAAACAGACAAAATTTAGGCATGTCACTACAATAATTCCATAAGAATAACAACAACCTTCAACAAGAGCAGCAGTAGAAGCAGCAAAAACTAAAACTGAAACAAAAAGCTTAAGCTGGGGATTCAGTACAATAGACTTCTATAGTAAACTTCTAAATACCAGGACAGTAAGAAAACAAGTTCTATTTATATTATTGTTAAGACTGTAATATAGTTTCTTATTAGTAATAGTAATAGTAGTTACTACTAGCTACTAATCAGATTGAACAAAGGTAAAGCTATAATAGATAGAATATAGACATACTGCTATATATAATGAGTGGTAAAAGTATACAGCAATACCAAATCTGGGCCAAAGGGAGGGCCGGATCCTAACTTCTATCTCAGATGTTGCAGGTACTAGGGTATAGAAATTATAAATAATAGATTCGGATCTAAAATAGATTAGACTAGAATTAGTTGCTGATATACATATCTAACGTTAGCTAATAGCTAAGTCGACTGGATACAGTTTGGTTACTGTAGCTGAGGCAGCCCACTAGCATAACAATGCTCGAGCCAACGTCTGTCTTGGTTCTCGTAATAAGCTCTGTGGCTTTTACATATGTATAGTATCTCTGGAGGGCAAATATGACACCATATTACTCCCTCTGCCCTGGTCGCAAGTGTTTATTCCACTGCACCCGCACGCAACCTTGTCAATCTCTTCGTCGAGCAAGCATCATGGTCTAAGTCACGAGTCTCCCATAATGAGATTCATCTCCTGTGCAATATTTTCCAAAAGCGTCTGTGCCTCAAGTGTCGTCATTGAGTTTACTTCGTAGTCAACCTTCCAATGCAGCTCACCACCGGTTTCGTTGTAGCTGAACTCCAAGTATATATTTTTCTCACAAGGGAGCCAATTATACCGGAACTTGTCAACAGACGTTGCACCAGCCAGCGGGCGTTCAGCAATTAAGTAATTCTCGAAACCAATGGGTGACGGGGTCAACAGAGGATCAGTCGAATCTCGGGTTGAATTGTCCGTGGATTTACTGAGGACTATATTGAGAAGGACATTGAATTCTGGGTCATTGCCAAGTTCCTTCATTCTCTGGCGGAGCTGTCGGAGATTGGTCTGGTCATGGATAGCACGTTGACCTAGATCATGCTGTATAGCCTTGAGGGCCCCGAGCATAGGGCGGGTAAGGGCATCTGGGACCACAAACGGTAGCATATTCACAGTCGGACCTGCTACGCGGTGTATGTCCGGATATTCACTTGAACGCCCGGATTGAAAGAGACCAAAAGTAGGATGAGTCACATCTGCGATGCGTGCCAAGCTACGACCCACGGCTAGTAAGATAAGACAGGGCACGGAAACGCCAATCTGGTGGCACCAATCTTCCACAATCTTAAGATCTTGAGGGTAAATGAGCTGAGATGAGAGGAGTTGTGAGTGATTCCCGGCGCTGGGTGTGTTTTTTCCCAACACTGTACGCTGGCCAGTCTCGATTGCCGGCTTCCAGTAAGCATCGGCAAGTTTAGAACCCGCTGTCTGCTGAGCATGATGCACAAAAGCGGGGAAGCTACTATGGGGTGCGAGAGGGGTGTTCAGGTACAAGGCCTCTAGGTCTCCGATCAACATCGGGATTGTCCGGGCGTCGTACAATGCGTGATGTAGTGTGAGTAGAAGAACGTCCGAGTCTTTGTGCTGTACCAGGCAAAGGCGAACCGGAGGCGTGAAGAGATCAGACGGACTGCACATAAAATTGCGAGTGAGGCCTTGGATTTCCGATTGAAGATTTCCCGTAGATGGCTGACTCTCCACGCGAAGACCTCTATTTACTTTGGCCGGCTTGCATACCACCTGCACTATCTCTACTGCGGAAATGGCGGCAAATGATGTTCGAAGAATGCTATGTCGGTGTTGAAGCAGTAGCCAGGCATGGTCTAACTTCTCCGGGTCCAGTCGGACGCGGCTGGTAAATGCAAATGTGAATTCCCACAGTCGTCGACCGCTACCGAGCCAAGAAGATATATAGAATATCTGACCACTAAGACAGGGCAAGATGACCTCGACATCATCTTCCTCTAAAGCCAAGGCAGTTAATGCTTCTTGTTTTGCGTCTGCACTGATAGCAGATCTGCTGCCATCAGTGATAGTCTCCGGCAGGACAGAGAGTGTTTTTATCTTGTTGGCGGCAATCGTCGCAATTCCTTGGATCGTTCTTCCCTGAAGGATGTCACTGACTGAGAGTTTCAGTCCAGCCTCTCGGCTCTTAGCACTGATATCTATTGCTAAGATAGAGTCCACGCCGAGCACAAAAATGCTGCTGCCCTCGTGGAGCTGATCAATCGGTGTTTTGGTAACCGTTGCGATGATTGCTTTGATGATTCTAGCATGGTTCTCCAGACCTCGAATATCTGTAGGCTGCTTTCCTACATCCTGGATAGAACTAGTAGCCAGAGGGAGAGCCTTGAGCTCAGACGGAAAGCTCAGCACGGGGGCATCCGGATGGGAAATGATATTCTCCAAACCACGAGCTAAGGTCTGTAACCAGGCATCCAGATCGCCGTCATTTGATAGGAGATCACGGGACGATGCACGTACCACAAGAAAGTCCGACCTCTGCTCAAATTCCACATTTAATCTATAATGAGGAGTGTCTGGTGCACGATGAGAAAGGTACGGCTGAAAAAGAGACGTAGGGTCTTGGTTCCCTGATTTATTGAAAGTAAAAAGAGTCTCAAACAGCGAGGAAGCCTCACTGTGGTTATCCAGACGCCAGTCCTTCTGGACTACACTCAGTGGTGCATGTTGATGACTCTGGGCGTTGGCAGAAAAGCGTTGGATGTGACGCAAGACTGAACGGGTACTCTGAAGGATTGGATCAAGTACCAGGCGAAACGGTACTGTGTTGAAAAGTGGACCAATTACCGGTGCTGCAGTATCGATATTTAGCCCTCGTCCAGAAACTACATGACCGAATATCACATCCCGCTGGCCCAATAGTGTCGCCAAGGACCGACCAAAAGCGAGTAGAGCAACAGTCTGCAACGTAACTTCAAGACAACGGCATTGATGCTGCAAAGTAGTGATAGGAGTCTGCACAGTAGCCTCAGCCAATTGGACACAGGGTTCTATTGCAATAGTTGGTGGGAATGGCACTTTACAATACCGATAGCCTTTGACAGTTTCAGCCCAGAATTTCACGGACGACTCCTCAGTACTTGTGATC